TACCGCTAGCCATGGATGGTCGAGTACATCTTCTGCGGTAAATCTCAATTCAGGCAGTGCTTGGAGCATGTTTGAAATCAACTGTTTGGCAGAATCCGACACGTTATCCCAATATGGGGGAGTGAATTCATAATGTCCACTTAGAATCCGTTCAAATAATTCTTCTTGTTCGTTTTCAGGTGACACAAATGGTGGAAAACCACAAAGTAAAATATATAATATGACACCAGCTGCCCATACATCAATCTAGAAATATATACATTTAATTTTTCCCATATTCTTCATAAAAAATATATCTAACCAATAATATACCTTTAACCCGTATCCAGTTTCTGCCAAAATTTCTGGTGCTACATATGTGGGTGTACCACAAACTGTATATAATGGCTCTCTTACTACTTGAGCTAGCCCGAAGTCACCTAATTTCAAACATCTAACATGACTTCCGTCCATTTCTACTAAAAGATTCTCAGGTTTAACATCACGATGAACTATATGATGTGAATGTAAATAAGCCAATGCAGATGTTAAATGACCAATCATTACACTGGCTTCTGGTTCAGAAAATTTTGTTGCTGCAGCGAGAGCATCAAATAAATCTCCACCCTAACATAAAAACAAATACAGTGTTATTATTATGAAAAAACCTGATCTAAAAGCTTTTGTTAAGTACATATACCTTTACAAGTTCCATGACTAAAAACAGCTGATCAGTTGTTTCTTGTTCTGCAATCAAACTAATAATATTCGGATGACAAACTTGTCGTAAAATTGTCACTTCACTTGCCAACATTGTTTCTTTACCCTGACATTTATACTTATCTACAATTTTCATTGCATATTCTGCACCTGAAGATCTAAACAAGATTTGTCAATAGAAATTCTAATAGTTTTAAGAATTATATAGAAATCTTTGTAATACTTACTTATGAATGCAATGTCTAACAACTGCAAAATTACCATCTCCAATGACATGACCAACTGCATAATGTAAACGCAGTGGTTGTGGTAAAATCAATGAAGAAGGACTAGGTGTACGCACTTGGGGCGTGTTAAGCACCTTCTTTCCAGATTTACGTGGCATTCTAGGCATTGGACCACTTTGTCTTTTCGATGTCCATGGACACCTTCTAAAGCTTTGAACATTTTTAGATTCTTCAAAATCTAATTCAAAATCTTCTTGGTTTGCTTTCTCAGGCCCATAAGCCACAAAAATGTCTTCATTATCAAAAAATTGTTCCAATGAGTTAACTTGTTGACCTGATAATGTATAAACTTTCCTTACTGCTCCGGTATCTAGTTTAACTGCATCTGTAATTGCTTCCATTGCATGTTCCAAGCTTGGAGCATTTCTTTTATTTAATAAAAGACGTACAACTTTACGAGGTTTTGTGCCATGTCGAATTAATGTAATTATCCTTGCTTTAACGCATAATGGTATTGCACTTATTTGTCTACCAGTGCCTGCTGGAGATTGTGGTAATCCAGATAAAGAATTACCTCTTCTTACTTTGGTAGATGAATATTCGACTTTCTTAAACATTTCTCCTTGTCCAGAAACCACATAACATTTACCATCTTCTAAATCATTGACGTTTTGAACTTTTCGTCCATCCATAGTATAAATTGATCTGACACCATTAGGTAAAGTAACACTTGATATTAAAGCCCTTGTTAAATCTGAAGCTAAACTATCAAAACTGCGATATCTTTCTGGAGTGACTGCCATTACAATACCAGTATAAAATTTATCTCCATTTCTAAAAAATCTCACTCTCTTTGCTTTTTTAGTTAGCGGTGTTCGAAGAACGTTCAAAGAATGCCGTGCATTAATATCCAATATTCTTTCATCTAAAGTCATTATAGTAGTTGAATTTATTTCTCCACTTCCTGAGCAATTGCTATCACCAGATATCATAATCTTAGGTGAAGCAGTTTGATTCAATAGTTCCTCCATCATCCTACGTACAAAATATCTTTACTTTATACAAAGAATAAATAGTATATAAATAGTATATACATTTCCTATTATACAAAAAAATATTTTTTGAATGAATAAATGAACAGCCATGTTTCACGTTTTGCACACTAGAAAAAATATTTAAAACTAACGATTTTTGTTGATTATTAATTACAAAATAAATAAACATACAAAACTAACACATTTTACAATACACAATTATAGTAAACAATTTTTTGTGACACCATTATTATATTATTTGTAAAGCAGATCAAGTATTAAACATCAAGTACTATACTTTAAAATTTAGAACAGTCAATATTTCTTTATATCCTTGGCATGCATTTAAAATTGTTGTAGATAGCAACTCGGAAATAAAAATATTTATTCACTTTCATAACCTAGTTAACCTTTCCAAAAATTTTCTACGTGTGCATACACAAACATCACATGAAAATGAACGGTCTTAAACGGAGTCATTTGTTAAGCATTCAAATTTAACAACAATTAACTGATCGATATGAACTTACCTGCTCGTTGAGCAGAATGTGCTGCTAAAAAACAGATGAAAAGTCAACTAATGAGAGAATGAATCACCACTGAGCTGACATTTTCATAGCAACCATGACGCGAATACTAGATAATAAGAGCGAGAAATCTCACTTTCGATTAATACTGAAATAATTTCACTTTCCGTTGTATGTAAATTATATGTAACTGTTACACGTTACGTTACTATTGTAACACACTGATTTTTGTTTTCTACACACAGAATAGATTGACTTGCCAAAAACTCTATAAATAAAGTGGCTTGTCAAAGAGAAACCGGGAAACCGGAACCGGAAATATAAAGAAATTAGAAGGGTGGGACATGAAAATGAAAAAATGATAAAGCAACTTGTAATGAATTAAATCGAATTAGATCTATTATTTCATTTTTATATAAATATCTTTTAACGCAATTTATATTTTGGCAGTCCCATTTTGTCTCTGTTACTTAAACGATTATCTAAATTCAAGCAAATAAACATTTGTAAATTTTATTTAAACGTCTTCTTTAATTTTTTTATAATTAATTCGTTATTAATTTCAATTTGATGAAATAATACATTATTACTTTTCCGACATATAACACAAATTAATAAATTGTAACAAAAAATTAATTTTAATTAACCTAATGGAATAATTATTGCAACAATTTTCAATATTTGATAGAAAATGAAACAGAATTGATAAGAAATTTAAAAACCAGTCGGTAAGGTGCAATATCTGTTCACAGCAATAGAGGGCAGAGTGATCGATGAAACTGTATACTGCAACCATCATGTATTTAACATATTAGATACTACATAAAAATTTTACTGGACATTCATATAAGTGGTATGTTCAATAACTGATAGTTACATAATAAATGAAGTGTATATTAATATAATGTAAATTTAATGTTATATTTAAAAGTTATCAGAAAAATGAACCTTCCACATCCTCTGGTAGCCGTGATCGTCTAGTGGTAAGGACCCTACGTTGTGGCCGTAGTAACCCAGGTTCGAATCCTGGTCACGGCAATGTTTCTCTTCACGAGATTACACATTGTCACGGAAGAGGTTTATTTTTTTTCTTCCCAATATTTTCTTCCATAATAATATTTATTTAAATCCGTATCATTCATATACGTGTACCGTCTATAATATTACCATAGCAAGAAAAATGGTAAATGATGTTTTAATAAAGATTAATAATAAAACAAAACAACTCGGTAGAGTATTTCCATGAACAAACAAATGAAAATCAAATCATTAGTTTCAAAGACATTACAGCATTAATTCCTAATAATTCAATAATTTCAAGCGCATCATGTTAAATTTACAACGAATTTATAAAGTCGGATGTTTTATTAAAACGATGTCTGTCAAAGGTATTATGAAAATCATTTCTCAAATAAGCGAAGTTCGTCGGCAGGCCTCTCAATTTTCGAATATTTTTCAATCCAGTTTAAGATTCGGGAAATGAAAATGTGGGAAATTCCATAGTCAAAGCATTGAATTCAAAAGACCTTCAGAATACCTGGAACGCGATCCGTTGATCCGCACCTGGCAGCGCGATCAAGAGAAAGATAGACATAGAAGCGATCCAGCCGGTGTTGGTAACGAGACAGGGCCGTAGCACGCCAGTGCCGAGGCAAAGGTAGCTGGACACGGAGGAGGGAGACAGCACAATAGCGAGCGACGTTCTCTAGAAGAGCCGCAGTCTCGTTCAGTGTGTGTTTATTGGCGGTCGTAGTAGCGCGGGTGGATTTGTCACGGTGAAGGAGTGAAACGTATAGAGCCGCTCTACAGTGTATGAAAAGCAAAAGCGGTGCGTTCTTTTCGATTTAACGTAAAATAAAAGCGAACGGGGACAAATGCGGTGACCGAGGATGCCTCGTGAGTGAACGTGCAACAAGAGACGCCGTAAGTGCGGGTGTCCTCGAGCTCGACTGCAGATCTCTAGACCGGTCAACGAAAATGCGGGCGCGATACGTGGTGGCAGGTGAGTAAGGCCCAGGGCATGTTCGCCATTCGTGCGTCGTTCTTGCTTCGTGTTTCTCTATGCCCGCCGTTGCGGGCTCCGCGATCTACGATCCAGCACGTGAACGTAAATCCTTTCGCCCTCGACGGATCGAACGGTGGCATCGATCGATACGAAAATATCGATCAATGAACGCTTCGCGTTCTCGTTTACAGATCCTTTTTCATCTGCACGGCGGGCAAATCAACGCTAGCTTGAGATTTAAATTTCTATGTGGATCTTACGGAAGCGATGCACAGCGAGCACATTCGGTAGCGTAGAATTCGTGACAGGTGGGGAGGCCGACTTGCCAAACCGTTCCGCACACCTGATCGTCTACCTGAAGTACTGTTATATGTCCGTGTATACTAGGATAGTCTAAAATAAACGTCGTTCTGCTTCACGGAAGACCGGTATATACTTGCCAGTGTTTCAACACGTTCTCCTTTTATTTTTTAACCGAATGCCAGTCCGAAGCCGCACTCGGAGACGCATTACCGTTGATCGTACGAATATTATCCGATTACTCGTTTCCCGACGAACGAATGCAAAGTCCGCGCGAGTTCGATCTCCACGTCTCGAGCACAAATTGAAATCGGCCGGAGTTCGAGCGTCTCTGACAATCCTCGGCCCGCGGAGGTCGCCAGCCGAGACGCCGAATCGCGGGTACTGTCATGCATTATGGGCAAAGGAATTAAAACTAGGCATCGCGAGGATCGATAACGTTAGTGCAATGACCCCCATAGAGCCTCTTACACGATCGTTCCGGACTTCGCTTAAGAATCGATCTACTGGCCGAGGTCTGCTCGAAACAACGTAAACTTGTACAAAATAAGAATCGTTGACGCGTAGAAAATAAAGATGTTTGTAGAATGTATAACGGGCCGAACCTATATAATACTTGCATTCATCAACCAGACCGCTGGAAATATCGATCGTTTTAAATCTCATATCTCGCGTTGTTTAACGGTTCCCCTCAGCTACTGCTCCCCTTTCATATCAAACAACGCTATAGAAAATTCCACGGCGCGGAGTTCGATGCATACGTTTATTATAATTACAAAACTCTTCGCAACCGCGCGTCATATCAGCTATGTACTTTCTTTTCTTGCCGTCCCCCGTGTGCGCGCAATTTCATTCGTGAAAGCCCGCCCGTTGGTGGTAAGGGTCCGGCGTGTATACACCGTCCCACGTCCCAGGCGCCGGTACAGACCAGTTTCTAAATTCTTTTCTCCCGATTAATGGTAATTAACCTAAGTGATTCTCGAGATTAACGAGAGTCGTTAAAAAGTAGTTTTCTTTGCGCGGCGGCGGTGGCGGTGGCGGCGGTGGACGAGCCAGCTGGGCTGTACGCCGCTCCGCGGGAATTCTCTCGGCGAGAAATCGCGCCGCTGAGCGTGAAACTGAAAAAGAGTTGGCTACGAATTTCTAGGTAAAGGAAAAACATATTTCGGACTCGTCGTCCAGCGCAGGTGGAAGCCACGTCGGTGCATTAACGTTGGCCCCTCGCTTCACGCTCAGGTGCGTGCCTTGAACGACACGCAGACAGACCGCACGGGAACGCACACGCGTCTATAGTCACGTACATATTCACGTGTGCACGTATATGAAAGCCACTGCGTCGAATGGGGGCTCGGCGTTCGTCGTTATACCTGCCGGACGATGCCTGGCGTTAATCTTTTTCCGTTTCTTCTTATCGTCAGCGAAAAAGGAGCGGGCTAGATTCTGTAACAGGTGCTTCGTCTTCATTGACGTGTACGAAATTTTACCGCCGTAACCGGACACTACTGACAGTTACGATGCATCGCGGGCCTATAGGTTGAGAGCGTTTAACCCTTAACGCGCGAAGCGGGGTCACTCGGGAACCCCAATACGAATCTTTGTTATTATTCATTGCTGTACTGTCTTTTTTGGAAGTTATTTGTAAAGATGTTTTGGACAAACATTTTTATATCCAGCGTTTTCGTTAACTGTAACAAGAACTTGGGAATGTATAAAATTATATCAAGTAGACTAAAGCGACAGAATTCTTGGTGAAGATTATAGATTACTTCACCTTCTTATACTAACGGTCCATCCTCGTATGGTCGACCATGTAACGGCGAACTGACGCTGGGTCATTCATGATTCATGTTAAATTTTTCATAATATGTACATTAAAACTAATTTCCCCGTCAAAGTGGATTCTTGTTACGCCACTAATGGATATTTTGAGTGACCTTAATGTAAGTGGAGGCAGTAGAGTAATTAGTAGGAAAATGAGAATCAAGTAAAAGTACACAGTGTGCGACTGCACATAAATGCATGTGAAAGAGGAGTAAAAACAATTTGGTATTGACTGGCCCAGAATGCAATCTGTGATATGAACCAGAAAAGAATACAGTTAAACTATATAACATTACTAATAAACTATAATAATATAACAATGATAGTATTAATTCAATTATAAAATGTTAAATAAAATATTGATATATGTTTATTCACTTATTTATTTCATTGTTTAATCAACAATTAATTATTCATAATTTACTTTTTCTAATCGAGATTCAAATTGTTAAGATTATTTTTTAATGCGTTTAATCAATGTACAGCAGTTATTACCGTATTTATTATTTTATTACCAGTATTGACTTCATTTCTTATTAGTTGAATTTTCAAGTAACCGTATAAAATGTGACTATGATAGCAACATATATTATAATAAAAGAATAATTCAATGTATGTACGTCTTTGTTAAAGAAAACAATACTTTATCATACAATATTTTATCTCTTTCAATCTAGTTTCGAGGCACTTTTACAGTACTTGTGCATTGTGCAGACGTATCAATCCTTTGTCTTAGGATCTATTTCTATTCAAATACTCCTGCTTACGCCGTTTTATTTTGTCGCGTCTTTGAAGGCACAATTATTATAAAGAAAACTGAAGTATTACAGGTTCAATTGAATTTATTTATAAACAGAAAAAAATTATTTTATCCATATGATATTAATTATCTAGAGCAATTTTCAGAAGCTAAAACTAGTGAATAAATTATTGTTTCGGTATACAGTACCGAATAAAAGTTTGACACTACATACATTTTATTACTTCGTAAAACATATTTTTATTCGGTTATAACCAACGCGAATATTCACTTATTTCTATAACAGCTATTGACATTATAAAGTAAACAAAATATGTGTATAACGTATAACATAACTATAAGTATTTCGGCAGCAGTTGAATAACAGAAGTTAATTATAGTAGCTGCAGCTACTGACATTACAAAATAGACAAAATACCGTAAAGTTATATACGATAGTAGAATTAAAATATTAATTATAATAGATACTTGATGTAAGTTTATTATTGCACATATTATGCAAATCTTTATTTAAATATACGTTCACATAATTTGTGCACTAACCAAACACAAAACTAACGAAAAATACCGAAATCTTTTATATGTATGATACAAAGGCATAAGTATGAACCTTGCAGTGTTGTTAAATGTATCTGTTATAAAGTAAAAATAAAATAAAATAATCGACAATTTTATTTGCTATGTAATGAAAAACATCAGAAAATTGTTACTTGGAAAACAATATAGAACAGTCCAAAGTTCTGGGGAAAAAATATGCAACATTATGAATTTTCATTGAAATTGACAGTAATTTATTTAATACTTGTATTACCTGGTATTTTGTAACATTGTCACGTGCACGTAATCACATTTTTTATTCGCTTTAGTTCCAATATTATAAGATTTTCACACTGCGATGGTGAAATTTGTTTTCAGGATAATTAACAATTTGTACAAATTCTTATTTATTTTACTTTCAAACTTTTTACCGCTGGTAATATATAATCATATATAATTTATAATTCTGTAAAAAAATCTGTTCTTTGCATTTAAGTTTCTGTTATTAATGTTCATAATAATTGATATCGTTCATATGAAACAATTATAAATTATTTAAAAACTTAGTTTATTCAAGCAGTTATTATAATTTTGAAAATATTACAATGTTTTATTGTTTCAGGGACTGAAAGTGTGTACTTAATTTTCACAAAACAGTTAGAGTAAAATGAAATAATTTCTTGATTTCTTTTAATAAATTAATTTTAAAAATTGTAATACATATTTTCGGTCAAATTTTTAGAATTTTCGTAGAAAATTTTCTTGAATTCCCTTTTTTGCAAATAAACTCGATTTGAAATGTAAATACGAGTTATCATAATTTCTATCCAAGTTTATAGATATTTTAAGATAGTGTTGTTTATTTGAAGAAAAAGATTATTATCACGTAACTCACGATCTACAGTCTTCATATTGATTTATCCGCGCGGTGTTGCGTACTACAATATAGAATGAATGTAAAACTGGAATGAAATGTAAACTATAGAATATTCTTTAACATTATATTTTTCAAGTTAATGCCCACAAAAGCGTCCAAATAAGAAAATGTAAATATCTTAAGCATTATATTCGATTTGACAATTTTTCAAAATGTCTATAGAATACATTGATAATTATTTCGATGAACCAAAACTGTTCTGAAATTATACAATTAACCTTTGCATCGAACCGATAAGTGGGGAAGCATGTAATACTGATGAATTTTCGATAATCTATCAAAATTTCTTTTATAAAAATATTTTAACAAATAACAAATTTTCCAAAGAAATTGTTGAAAAGAAATCTCGAGGAGAGATTTATTTTTTGCATTTAACAGAAAGAAGTTCACTTTTCCCTTTCTCTCTGTGACGCATGGTTCAAATAAATTACTCAGCTATGAATCAATCAGTGTGCGTTATTCCAGTTATTCGCAATTTTTTTGTTCGCTGTCATCCCGAGAGGAATTCACTATCTTTCTTTTCATTGACGATTTTCAAGCTGACGTTCCCTCAGACAATTTCAGCCAGTCGATTCCGCGCGTACGTTTGATTCCTTCTTCAGCGTTATGCGCTTTCGATGAGTCCGCAACATAGACATTCCA